ACCCTTACATTCTTATTCTAATCACCTCTTGTCTTTTTCAGGACCTTCTGCTACCCATAATGCCCTCAGTTTCAGCTTCAATCTCTTCCATTCTAAGCACTCCCTCTACTCTGCCTATAACCACACTTAAGAATTCCTTCAAGTTATCACTTCTCTGTCACTTCATCCCCAAAACTTCTAGAAAGACCTAGAAAGTCTACATTACCTGCCTCTATTTCCTCACCAACCTCATTTCTCAATCCCAAGCAATCTTGCTTCTATACCACACCCCACTCTATTCAAATTATCCTCTACAAAACTACCAATGATCTAATTTCAAATCCAGGAAACTTCTCTCAGTTATTTTCTTCCTTAAGTCCCTCAGTGGTATTTGACACACTTATTCGCTTGTCCTCCTTTTTGATTAGGGTTTTCTCCACCCTTGTCTTCCAGGATATAGCTCTCACTCAATTTAGTCAGTCGTCTGTTGACAAGCATTTATTATGCTCTTATTATATGTCAGACACAATTTAATAACCACTTATTAAATGCTTACTATTAGCAAAACACCATGCTAGGGCTTTCATTAAAAGATGAAAAATAAAACAGCTTACTATAGTTTATACAAAGGGCAAAGGAGAGGCCCAGTAAAAGTGTCTTAGGAAAACCTGAGGAAGAAAAGAGCACTTTCCACTGAGGTCTTCATAGTCGTCCTACCTCTCTCTGGCTTCTCTTCATTTCTCTTCACCTTTTCTGGTTCCCCTTCTTGCTCCCTCAGTGTGGGCTTTCTCCTTAGTTCTTTTTTCTACATCATTTCAGCCACTCCCATTGTCTTAATATTACCTCTACGCAAATAAGCTCAATTCTCCAGGTCTAATGTGGTGTGGCCCAATGCCTTTTGAATATCAATCTCCAAATAGACATTCTGTCAGCTCCTTAAATTCAGGATGTTCGAAACTGAACTCATTTTCACCTCTAAACTCATCCTTTTCCTATTTCTACTGATGGTACCACCATCCTCCTACTCAAATTTGAAACCTTGCAGCTATCTTTGATTCTTTTCTCTCCCAACGTCCCCAACATCCACAATGGTGCTCAGTCCTTTTGACTCTACCTCCACAATCTCTTTTACAATCCAATTATCTTAGTGCCAATCCTCATAATCCCTCCTGAAATACTTTAATAACCTCCTAACTGGCCTCTCTCCCTCCAGAATCTCCTTTACATCACTTCTCAGGTCATATGTTTTGCATATATGTACATGCTGCTTCCCTCTTTTGCATGCAATCTTTTTGAGGACAGGAACTGTTTCATTTTTTTGCCCTTGTACCCCCTACACCTAGCAAAATAGGTAGCACGTACCCTTTAATAAACCATGTCCTGATTGATTTATCCTCCCAATGGATAAGTTTTATCATGTAACTGCTATTCAAAAACCTTGAAATGAACCAAGAGAACAATATACACAGTGACAAGTGAAACTCAACATCCCCAAAACTGAGCTCATTATCTTGCTCTCTTAAATACTCCTCTCTTGCAAACTTCCCATCTTCCCAGTCATCCAGGCTTGCAACTCAGATGTCATACTCTCTCACTCTCCATATCCAACCTGTTACCAAGTCTTGTTGCTTTTACTTTTGTAAGATCTTTCCTATATATCCCCTTCTCTCCTCTAATATATCCACCAACCTGCTGTAGGTTGTCACCTTCTCATGCCTGAACTATTGCAATAGCCTGCCCGGTTGGTCTCCTTGCCTCAAAACTCTCCCCATTCCAGTCAATTCTCGGCTCAGTGGCCAAATTAATCTTCCTAAAGCACAGATCCAGCCATGTCATTGCCCCTATTTAATAAAGTCCATTGGTTCCCTGTCACCTCCAGGATCAACTATAAAGTCTTCAGTTTGACAATCTGATCCCCTCCTATCTTTCCAGTTTCCGTATACCTTTCTCCCCTTCCTGCACTCTTCAGGATAGTGACAATGACCTCCTTGCATGTGTCACTCTATCTTGAGACTCCAGGTTTTTCACTAGCTGTTCCATCTGCCTGGAATACTTACTTTCCCTCCTGGCTTCCCCAGCTTCCTTCAAGTTCCAACTAAAATCCCAAATTCTGTTTGAAGCCTTTTCTGATCCCCCGTTAATATTAGTGCCTTCCCTCAACCACCTCCATATTTTCCCATATATATATCTTGTTTGTACCTAGTTATCTTCATCTTGTTTCTCCCATTAGACAGTGAGCTCTTTGAGAGGAGGGGCTATCTTTCGCCTTTTTCATTTAATCCCAAGAACTTAAGTGCCTAGCACAGAGTGGGCACTTAATGAATGCTTGTTGACCTATAACAGCAACGTAAAGGAAGGGATGAAGGAAATTGTTCTGAGGAACTTAAAAACCAACAAAGGTCTCAGAGAACAGATAATATTCATCCTCCTTCTTTGGGGACAGAATGTCATATACCCTGTCACACATGGTAGTTCTCCATATTGGATTTTTTTTCTTTGTCACAATGGAGCGATCAATCTGAAGGATTGGTAGAAATGTCTGTCATAAACACCATCAATAAAACTTAAAAAAATATTTCAGGTACAGATTTATTATCTGCAGGATAAAATACAAACTCCTTTGCTTGGCATTCAAAGATCCATGGAATTTATCTTCAATCTACCTTATGTCACAAGGCTCATCGAACTACTGCCTTCTCCCCATCCTGCTTCTCTAGACTCTAGATATAAACTAGACTCTAGATATAAACAAATAAATACACCATCCCCCATGTCTAAAACAAACTTGCATAGTGGATGAAACCTGGGACCAGATGTTAGGAAGACCTAAATTCAAGTATGGCCTCAGACATTTACTAGTTGTGTGACCCTGGGCAAGTCACAACCTGTTTAACCTCAATTTCCTTGACTGTAAAACAAAGAAAATAATAGCACCTACCCCACAGGGTGGCTGGGGAGATCAAAAAGTGTTTAGCACAGTGCCTGGCACATAGTAGGTGCTATATAAATGCTCATTCGTTCCCTCTCTGCCTGGAAATCTAACTCAATTTAAGGGCCACAACTTCTGTGAAGGTTTCCTAGATCTCTCCCAGGTAAAATCTAGCCTTCTTCTCTCTTTGAATTCCTATTCAGGGACTAACTCACTTTGTAATTTGCATAGTTATCTGTGTACATTTTATCCCATGACTTAACTCCAAGATCAGTTAGGTCAGGGACCTAAGTCATTCTTCATCTTTACATCACCAAAGATTAACTAGCACATACAAACTACATCCTTAATAAAGTTTTCTTGAATTAAACTGAACTCATTTAGACCTCTGTACAACTTAGGTCTTTCTCAGACTCAGAATTATCAATCTTTTGAAAATATAAAGAAATTACCCTTTAAATTGTGAGATAATCTCAGATTTTTAGCAAGTCAAAATCACACTGAGCACTTTTGGTTTGTCCAGGCCCCACAAATTTTATACTCTCTCTGCCACCATTACTTACCATTACAATTTTAAGTGCCTTCCTATCTTTCTCACCATAGAAGTATAGAACTGGAAGACCCATTCGAGATTATTTAGTTCAATTCCCTCATTTCACAGATAAATAAGGCCCAGAAATATTAAATGACTTACCCAACATCACTAGCTAGAGGCAGATTCAAGACTAGACATACCCAAGTTTCCTCCCTCCCCTGCTCCTTCTATTACACAGGACAGCTGGAAGCTGACCCCAACTGTGCAGCCCTCTGAGGTGGTTCACAGACTTAAAAGCAACTAATGGAACCAGGAAAAAAAAGTAAACTCCACAATAATAGATAAGCATGGACTCTAAAGATTGCTAATAACTCACCTGACAGTTTAAGGTTTACAAGGTGTTTTTCTCAAAGTCACTTTTTTGAGGCAAGTATTCCCTAAATTACCACTCCCATTTTACAGAAGGGAATAAGTGAGGCGCTAAGGCCACTGGGCTATAAAATTTCAGAACCAGGATTTAAACTTAGTTCTCCTGAATACAAATCCAACGCTCTAAATTATAACCCTGTTGCCTTCTAATTAAAAAAAAAAATAAAGTATACATGTAGCCCATAATACTCAAATGTGAGCTCGCTCTGCAGCCATGGGCATGCAATAAATCAAAAAAGTGAAAGCTCCTAGTCCTGGCTTGATGCTAGTAAGGGGCACCTGTGTAATGACTGAGACAGTTGCAAGCGTTGCTCTGTTCTGAGGTCACCCCAGGAGGAGTCCTTCAGCTCAGCCCTGTCCCCTACTGCCTCCTGAGTTGCCCTCAAACTGGAATTCTTGGGGACCAGGGAGGAGCCAAGCTTAACGCTCTAGCGCCCAGCCAGTGCCTGGCCAGCCCTGCGGGGCCAGGGCCGGGGCTGAGGGCTGGAGAACGATCCTGAGCCCAGCAGCTCTGGACAGCCTGGGAGGAATTGGAAGCTCAACCCCTCCTTCGTCTCTATAGCTCGGGGCCCCATCTGGGGCTGGCTTTCTCCAAGACCTTGACCATAAATGTCCCTGGAGCCTGGCGGAGAAAAAATTGGGGTGGGGTGGAAGAAAGAGGGGAAGCTGTCCTGCAAGCAGGAGCTCCGCAGGTCTGGGGGGCACGCGTGGCAAGCCTCGCGCTCTAGCCCCATCGTCTGCCCCTCCACCTCAGGGTGGGGGGCGGGGAGGAGGGAAAAGCCCCGCTGTTCCTCCTGGCCCCGGCGAGCCAAGGCGCAGGGAGCTCGCGGAACTTACCGGCGGCCCGCTCGGCGTTCGGGGTTGGGGTTCGGATACGCGGCCCAGGCAGCGAAGCAGCGACTCCAGCAGCAGCAGCAGCAGCAGCAACCGCGCTCCGGACGCAAAAAACCCTCCTAGCCGCGGTAGCTCTATGCCTTCAGTCCGCGTGGAAACCCCACCCCCCGCCTCTCCCGGCCGGCTCGCCTCCCATTGGTGGAAGCGGGTCCGGCTTCTGCGGCATGCCAACTGGCCTAGACCTGCCAGCAGCCGCCTGGGCGACTTCCCACGGCTTTCCGAGCTGGTGTGATAGGCAGCCGACTGAGGGGGGCAAAGGAAGCCAGCAAACCACATTTGCACGTTGTCTCCACCATTAGACTGGATGCTCCCAGAGGGCAGGTATTGGCTTTGCTACTCTTTGTATCTCCAGTACTTAAGCACAGTGCCTGGCACATCGTAGGCGAGGAATGAAGACTTGTTGACTGACCTCTTCTTCCTTTTCTGGTGGGTACAAGCAAGAAGTCCCCGGCATAAACCCCTAGCTGGGTGGATGCCTGGGGTGAAGGAACTAAGCAGGCCCGGGTGTGTGCGAGGCTTTTTGTTTGTTTTTTGTTTTGTTTTGTTTTGTTTGGGGAGGAAACGACAGGGAGAACCCTCCGGCCCAGTGGCTGCCTTGGCCCTGGTCGTGGCTCTTGCAAGTCAACGAGCATTTATTAAGCACCTACTAGGTGCCGAGCACTGTGCTAAACTCGAGGTACAAGAAAGAAAGAAAAAAAAGCAAAGACAGCGCCTTCCCTTAAGGAGCTCACAATCTGACGAGGGTAATTGCAGTCAACCACCTCACTTTCCTCCTCCGCTGCGGTGTGGGGTCGGGGGATATGCGGGCATTTCAATCGGCAGCTGACCTAGTCCAACCTCTCAAGATGCTGGGGGGCCCTTTAAGGGGAGGAAGCTCTTTCAGGAAGCCCCCTAGTTCCCCTACGTTTGCAGAGAGGGGGAAATTGTCGTAGCAGGAAGTAACGTGGTTCTGTGGAAAGAGCCCGGGCTGGAGAGCCAAAATACAGGGGTTTGTGTCCTAGCTAGCCACTTCCGTGTATTTAACTTACCCTCTTTGGCCAGAAGTTTCCTCACCTCTCAAATTAGGGGGTTGGACTAGGTGATTCCTTCCAGATCTAAGACCTGGGGGTGGGTGAGTGGCAGGACTCTTGATTTGATCCCCGAAATGAAAAGAAGACGCGCCCTCTTAGTCTCTCTGTTCTCAATTTCCTTTTTTAGGAGAAGGAAACTGCCAGTTCCTAGCTCCAGCTCCCAGGAGTCCTAACACAGATCTTAAGGACCGCTGTGTCTCTGCTCGATTTGGAGTTCCATGTGTGCCCCTAGGGTTTTCAGAAGGGTGGAGGAACCTTGCCGGTGGAAACATTGTTAGTTTCCCTATGTTGTATTCTGAATTAACTGTTGTTTGCTTAGAATGTTTTATGGCGACTTACAGAAACAGAAAATAAAACTATGTCAAAAGTATGTGTGTGAAAGGAGGAAAGGAGCTTGTAAATTTCTTCCTATTCAGGGCAACCGAACAAAGCAAAAGGTCATTTGGTTCGTTTGTTTTGCTGCTCGAGGATTTACAAGATGCCAGAATCCATGGAATGTACTTGGGGAACATATTACCTCGCTATTACATACTAGTAGAGATGAAAGAGATTTAAATTAAGAGCCAGCTAACCCAATTTCTTCATCGTACAAAGGAAACTGAGATCCAAAGAGATCTTAAGTTAACTTTGCTAAGATCATACAGCTGGTTAATGGCAGCAACCAAGTCCCAGGACCCCGCTGTCCTTGGCAATATATCCTGTAACCTGTCAATTAGAAACAATTGGAAACCACTTCATTTTCCCTCATACCATTTGCCTCCTCCTGACACATTACAATACTGTAAATTTTACAACCACCACCATAACCAGAAAATGGAAAGGTACTTTTTGTCATCTAGTGTTTGGTTGTAACCTTTTTTAAAAACTGGTTTTTTTAATTTGTTTTTTACCCTTTTCTATATTCCTGTTTCGTGTGTGTGTGTGTGTGTGTGTGTGTGTGTGTGTGTGTGTGTGTGTGTACCTAGTGTAGACAAATCTCCTGAAAAGGGGGATTATGTGTCCAGGTCATATTGTCCAGCCAGTCCCAGATGCAATTAAGTATTATGATTGCCAAAATGACTGGAGCAAAGAATTGTAAAAGCAAGCAAGAGAATACTTTCATTAGTCTCTAAAGCAAAGTAAATAAATGTGGTGCCAAAAAAAACCACACTAGTACATGATTCCTGAGGACTGGTGATGAACTAGTCTATTCACTTCTTAAGGTGAAGATAATGGATTCAGGATGTGCAATGAGATATATTTTGGACCCTAACAATGTAGGAATTTGTTTTCCTTATGATGTATTGTAGAGCTAAACCTAAATGTAGAGCATGATCAAAAATAATTAAACAGTAACAATTTTTTTGAAGAGCAGTTATCTAAGCTACCACTAAATGCTTATTAAAATGGAAACAAAAAAAAAAGTCAGAAACTGAAAGTCACAACAGTAGACTACTCAAGAAAGATATCTACCACATAGGAAGATCTGAACCCAGGACAAATTGAGAAGTAGGCAGTTATAGAATATAATCGATCAGTTAGGAAACATTTATTAAGTGCCTACTATGTGCCTGGCACTGTGCTAAACTCTGGGGTTACAAAGAGAGGCAAAAGACTGTCCCTGAACTCCAGTTTACAATCTAGTAGGGGAAATAATATGCAAACAAATATATACAAAGCAAGCTATATACAGGATAAATAGGAGATACTTAATAAAAGGAAGGAACTAGAATGAAGAGAGTTGGGAAAAGCTTACAGTAAAGTATTGAGATTTTAGTTGGGACTTAAAGAAAGCCAGAGAGGTCAGTGGTCAGAGCAGAGGAGAGAGAGCCTTCCAGGCATGGGGGACATCCAGAGAAAGTGCCTGAAGCCAAGAGATGCAGCCCAGAGATTCGATTTATCTTATTGGAGAATCATCAAAGTAGTCAGTTTCACTAGATCAAAGAGCACATGAAAGGGAATAAAGTTTATAAAACTGAAAAGATAGGAAGGGGCTAGGTTATGAAGCTCTTTAAGCACCAAACAGAACATTTTATATTTGGTCCTGGAGGCAATAGGGAGCCAATGGAGTATTTGTAGGAGGGTGATATGGTCAGACCCTCAGAATTAGGAAAATCACTTTGGTGGTTACATGGAAGATGGACTTGAATGGGGAGGACTTGAACTGAGTGGATCCACCAGCAGGCTGTTGGAATAATCCAGGTGTGAGGTGATGAATGGCTGTACCAGAATAGTAAGTGTCAGAGGAGAGGGTATATTCCAGAGATATTACAAAGTCAATACTGACAGGCCTTGGTAACAGATTGGATGTGGGGTGGGGGTGGGGGAGGTTGAGAGACAGTGAGGAATGGAGAACTGCACCTAGGTTTCAAGTCTAAGGGACTGGAAGGCTTGTGTTGCCCTTGACAGTAATGGGGATGGCAGGAAGGAGGGAGGGTTTAGGGGAAAAGATAATGAGTTTGATTTTGGACGTGTTGAGTTTAAGATATCTACCAGTCATCTGATTTGAGATGTCTGAAAGGCAGTTGGAGATGTGAGACTGGAGGTCAGCGGAGAGTAAGGCAGGAAAGGTAGATTTGAAAATCATCAGCATAGAGATGATAATTAAATCCACAGGAGCTGAGGAGAACACCGAGTAAAATAGTATGGAAGAAGAAGAGCAAAGGGCCCAGGACAGAATCAGGTGGGACTCCTATAGTGAAAAAGCATGATCTGGAGAAGCATCCAGCAAAGCAGACTTACTAGTTTTATAAGTCAGTCAGTAACTCTGAGCTTCCATTTCCTCACCTGTCTCCCTCACCTAAGGCCATTATTACATGCACTATCCATCCCACTGGGTGGTTGTTGGGAGGAAAGTGCATTGCAAACTATAAAACAGTTCATCTTTATATAGCATTTCAAGTTTTGCGATGTTATTTACAAAAGTTAACTTATTTAGTGAGCAGAACCAGGAAAACATTGTACACAGTAACAGCAACATTGTGCAATGACCAACTTTGACAGACTTAGCTCTTCTCAGTAATGCAATGACCTAAGTCAGTTCCAAAAGACTCGTGATGGAAAATGCTATCCACATTCAGAGAAAGAACTATGGAGTCTGAATACAGATTGAAGCATACTATTTTCTCTCTTTTTTTTCCCTTTCTTGTGGTTTTTCTCTTTAGTTCTGATTCATCTTTCACAACATGACTAATATGGAAATGTGTTTAATATGATGATACACGTATACACTATATCAGATTCTGTGCTGTCTTGGGGAGGGGAGTGAGAGAGGGGGGAAAATTCAGAACTCAAAATCTTATAAAAGTGAATATTGAAAACTATCTTTACATGTAATTGGAAAAAATAAAATACTATTAAGTGGCAAAAAAGTTATCTCATTTAATCCTTACAACTCTGGGAAGTGGATGCTATTATGATCCCAATATGCAGATGATGAAACTGAGGGCCAGAGACACACAGGTGAACTTGATTTTGAACTCACAACTTCTTGACTTCAAGTCCAATGCTCAGTCCACTCCATCAGTTTGCTCTCTAGGTAGCTAGGTGGCATAATTGATGGAGCTTTGAACTTGGATTCAGGAAATCCTGCCTTCAAATGCAGCCCCAGATACTAATTAGTTATGTGACTCAACAAGTCACTTAACCACTTTCTGCCTCAGTTTCCTCATTTGTAAAATGGGGATAAGACTAGCCCCTACCTCCCAGGGTTGTTGTCAGTCTCAAATGAGATGGTATTTGCAAAGTGCTTTGCAAGCCTTAAAGCACCATATAAATGCTAGCTATTAATATTAGTATGAAAGACTTAAATTTGAGGCATAATTGGTACTTTTGTTGATCTTTAATGCCCTCCACTTTTCCTTTTTGAACCTTTTCCTTTTTTTCAGTGTCTTCCTCTCTCTCACCTCACCCCATTCCCAAAGTTACCTATGCTCTTATGCTGCCCCACATTCCTAAATCTGATAAATCTCTGATACCTGAGGGTGTTAGTTTCTTTTGTCCTAGCCAGAAGTATTTGCATCTGAACATAGGCTTTTATTCAGAACGTAAAGGAATGAATCTCTAAAGAGGAAATATGTCTGTCAAAAAAAATTTTTTTAAACATATTTTCAGACCCAGGCTAAGAACTCCTGAAGCTATAGGGATACATATCTACCCAATGCTAGTTACAGTTTTCGGTTTAAAATGTGCTCTGAGTCCAACTCTGACTAATTTAAATAATGATCTTGGTTCTAGAAAACTAAAAATGAAACACTCCTGCCTTTTCTCAGTAGAGAAAAAGGAGCCCATGGATATAGAATTAGCATATATCATCAGACATGGTCACAGTGCCAGCTGGTTTTGCTTAATATTTTTGTTTTTCTCTGTTACAAGGAAGGAAGGATGGGGATGAGGGGGAGAGGAGGTAAGACAGTGATTCAAATGGAACTGACTTTGATATAAATGCATAAGGTAAAAAAATATTTTTAAAGTATGCTTTGAATTTAGTGTGCATTCAATAAATAAATGAATCAACTAAGAATTAATTGACCTACCAGGTAAGATCAGGTCAAGTAGCAACCCACATCTGACATCCTGAGACCTCACATGCATGCTTTATTTATTGTTAACTGGGAGTGAAGAAACATGAGGTATAGGATTTCCCTGGTAATCTTTGTTCTTCCTCCACAGGTCAAGCCGATCCTTGCTGTCATGATGGCTTTAGTAACAACGACATAAATTCCCCATAGAGTGGTTCAATGCCAAGCTTGTCCTACAGAGCAGATAAAACAATGACTAGGTAGCTCACTGGGAACTAGTTGGGATCCGCAGTCTTCTGTGTCATTGGGAGCTGGTCTATTTCTGCTTTTAATTTTCCAGCCACCTGGATGGTGGTCTTTACCACCATCTTTATTTTGCCTACTTCCCTGAAAAGGGGTGACTGTACTCTCATCTAGGAGTTACTGATTCATTCACAGTGAAGGCTTTTGTACTTTTTGAACTTTTGAATACTTCCCATCTTTGTAAAGAAAAAGAAATCCTGAATAAATAAATAAATAGGCTTCCTTTAGCATGTCTATCATGAAGGCTTATTTGAACTGGGACACCATGACAGAAATGGCAAAAATAACTTTAATTTTTAAAGGTAGGTTGCTCAGTCATTTTTATGCAATTATGTGAGCCAATGTGGTATGACAGGTAGAGGACCAGTCTTGGAGTCAGAAAGTCCAAGGTTCAAATCCTACCCTTGACAACTATTATCTGGGTGACCATATGCAAATCACTCCATCTCTTCCTCCCCCTACTCCCATCAGTTCTTTAAAGCTCTAAATTATGGTGAAGTAGCTCATTTGCAACAGAAAAGTAAGTTTCCGTATATGGAGATCACCACCCACAAGGATAAAACTACTGGTCTAGACCATAAAAGAAA